AAGTCAACTGCATCTAAACCTTACAGAGTTCGTGGGTAATCACTCTATTGTGATTTCCCCCATGTACATTAAATAAATTTATATTTTTCTCCTGTTAAATCTGTTGTCAATTAATTCTAGTAAACTTTCAATGAGCAAAGGAGTTTTCCCTTCATCCCTACAAAAGCCAAAGACAAAACTTCTCCTTTATTCTATATGATAAAGACAATTTGCCTCCAAAATTACACATTTGTTCTCATCAAATATTTACCAAGAAGGCTGGGGTTGTGACTCAGTGGTAGAGCACTTGCCTCGCATATGTGAGGCACTGGGTTCAATCTCCAGCACCACATAAAAGCCAAATAAAGGTATTAAAAAAATATTTACCAAGAAAAGGTTTTAATGACTGACCTTATGTACAAATATTAAAGATTAAAAACCTAAACACCATAGATCCCGAAAATCAAAATCTATTCCTTCATTATGATACACAGTGCATTTTCCTGGAAATATGGAACAGTTTTAACTTAATAAATGTTATCAGATAGGCTGGGGATATAGCTCAGTTGGCAGAGTGCTTGCCTCGCATGCATAAGGCCCCAGATTCAATTCCCAGCACCACACACACAAAAAAAGTTATCAGATAAAAATACCCACCTAAACAAAATGTTAAAAAACGTTACCCAAAGAAGCAACAGTGCAAAAAGACAATGAAATGCTCTGCCTATAATCTTTATACTATAAGCCTACCACAAGAAAAGAAATTAGAGTTCCTCTATATAAATGCTATTAATTAATCTGTGTAAACGCAGTCAACTTCACTACAATACAAGATGTTATTTTGCCAAATAATAAGCAAAATTATAAAATATTGAGACCACAAGTGAAGTGCCAAGTATGGTTTGCCTGTTCTCAAAAGCAATTGATGTTTTACCATAATAACAAAAATACACTTGAGGTTATCCTAACACCTGTTTTCAACAATATCTAAAACATTACTTTCCTATTTCTGCTCTTATTCTACTTTCACTAAAACTGATCAGAAAGAACCCTATTAACAATAGTAAACCAAAAGTTAAGAGAAGATTGGGAACCACTATACATGACTGCCCTTAGCTTTTCACTGGTATTGATTCATACCTTTTTGAGAAGTTTGTTTGCCACCACTTCTTGAAGCTAAACCCACAAACAGAGCTCTCAAGAATGTTTCGAATTCTGCTACAGCACAACAAAACAACCGCACACTACCATATATAATGAAATACTGACATTAATAAAACTAGGAATGCTATAAAAACCCAAATAAAAACTTTACTATCAGGCTGGGGATGTAGCTCAACGTACAGAATACTTGCCTAGTAGTATGCGTGAAGCTCTAGGTTCAATCTCCGGCACCACACACATAAAAAAAAACCCCAAAACAACCAAAAAACTTTACTATCAACTTAAATAAGGATAAGCATCCTATGGTATCATTGTATACCTTAAAAGCAAGGGAAAAGTGTTTTAAGACATCAAACTAAGAGTAATTGGTAGCTAGAAAATCAGGACAAAAATCTCTCCCTTCATATTAATATGAGTGAAAATTTAAAAAGTGAAGTATTAATAAACTATTATGAAGAATGGGTAACAATCTGGTTTTCAACTAAGATTTAATTAATGGTCTCCTGCTTTCAGTGCTTCTTCTATTATACTATAGTACCACCAAGTGGCAGAAAGACTTATTACATTTCTAACTGCTAGTTGAATATTTTTCATCACTCAAAAATGGCAACTGTTATGGACTGAATTGCATCCTATTCACCCTCCCCCTGCCACCCTCAAAAAAGAATTCACAGGTTGAATGTTTAACTCCCATTATGACTATAGTTAGAAGAACATAAAGGAGTCATAAAGGTTAAATAAGACACATACCAGTGTGATCCTAATTTGATAGGGCTGGTACCTTTATAAGTGGAAGATACACCAGAAGCATGTAAGCACACGATTGGGGAAAGACCATGTGAAAGACAGCTAGAAAGTTACTGTCCACAAGCCAGAAGAGAGCCCCCACCAGGAACCCAATCAATTGGCACCTTGATCTTGGATTCCCAGTCTCTACAACTGATGAGAAACAAATTTCTATGGCTTAAAACACCCAACCTGTGATATTATGATTGCTCAAACAACTAATGCACTCCACCTTAATTCCCTAAAACTTTCTCTTTATATGAAAAATGTGACAATTTAAAAATCAGGGATGAAAGCAAGACCCAAAAAACTATAGATATTAAAGTAAAATATTTTCTGCCAAGTTCCTTTACAAGAGGATATGATTGAAATGGAGCAAACTGTGTTACGTGCATCTATGAATATGTCAAAATGAACCCCACTAGTATGTATAACTATAATGTTTTTTATTAAGCATTTTAAAAGAGGAAAAAAAAAGACACAGGGAAGCATTTTTTTCCCTTGAAATTAAGGGACTCTGGCTCCTCAGAATGTCCGTGCTTCCCTCACAGAAAAACAAAATTCTCCAATGGGAAAAAACAAATTCATGTTCACCCAAACAAACAGGTAAATGTTAAAATATAGATAGATAGATATTTTTAAAATAATTCCTTCTATTTTCATAAATATTTACCCATTTATAAATTACCCTGAGTAGCAATTATATTACAGTCACCAAGTATATGGACTCTAAAGCCATTATCAAGCTTTATATTCCTGTTGTGTTGCTTACTATTAGACCTTAGGCTTGTTACTTACCTGCTTTGTTTCTCAATTCCCACATCTCTAAAATGGAAATAACAGTCTCCTGTAACACAGGTTTAGTATCTCCTTTTTGAACTGCTTACAACCAAAAGTGTTTCAGATTTTTGGAGTTTTCTGGATTAAGAACACTCAACTTTTCGTTATCTTCCCTCCCAGAAGACTCGCCTTAGGTCCTATCATCCACACTCTATTGTCCCAATTCTCATGCCTTAAGAATAAAGTTTATTTATTTTCTTACAAACTCTGATGAGTTATAATTATTACTAAAATTATTACTACATGGACAGAGAAATCTTTTATCTTAGTAACCCAGAGCAGAAAATTAAGATAAACCAAAAAGAAAACTGAATGCTTCAATTGACAAGTTAACTGCTCTTCTGTCTTTCCTTAAATATCCTATTTCTACATTGTTCTGATTCTTTACAATATGGTATACAAAACTTGTTGGTAGAAGGGTGCTAGCAAGGATGCATTAAATGCCTTGGGTATGAGGCAGTTCAGTTTTGCAAGCTGAGATAATTGATTTTCCCCATGTTCATCCAAGAAGATTCAATTATAGAAATTGCACCCAGTTGAACCTAAATTTCTGTCAATTCCAATTAATGGAATGTCCTTTCCAGAACTTGATGACTTCCTTGCTGGGTTAAGAGTAGTCTAACTATACGTACTTGACTGCAGATCAATTCCTCTAAGTAGTATATCACAGTACTTATTTTGTCCTTTCTTATGAGTAAGAGAACTACTAAGTTGGAGGATATAAAGAAACTGCTCCATTGTACCCCCATCACCTACAGAAAGCAAAGGAGAAGCTCTCAGGGGATGTGTTAACTTCCCACCTTCTCCCCAACAAGTTTTGGTTTTACAGGTTGTACATAAACCTTCACTTACTTGAATACAATCACTCTATCTATACGCTGTAGAAATACTAACTTGCTTCAGACTGAATTTAAAATACACAGTATTTCTAATCATTCTTTTAATCCTGCTCCAAGGGAAATCCCACTAACAGTTTTTCTGTGGTAAATTAACCACTAGTAGTTTATAAGAATTTGAACTTTTATTCCTAACAGTTATATGCAAATTTAAACTAGGCAATATACACTACTACAAAACATATAAGGCAATAGCTTCTAATAAAACATGCCCCCAAATCCATATTACCATCTTAAAAAAAAAAACTCAAAATCACTATCACTTTAGTTTTTTTCCTCAAGAATAATACTTCTAGTTATAAAAAACCCATGAGAGTGACTCTCCTTAATAAATTCATTTAGATGTGGCTAATAAATTCATTTGGATGTGGCACAGTGAGTTCAATTCCCAGCGCCAAATAAATAAATAAACAGATTCATTTTACAGAGGTTAAATGACTTCCCCAAAGACTCTAGTCTATTAAGTAACAAAGCCTATACCAAAATAAAAGTCTTTCTGCTCCTCAGCCAGTCTTCTTTCAATTATATCATATTTCCTTCAGGTCAACTTCTCAAATCTCAAGGATAAATTATACTGTGATAAAGAATAAAAAACTGGGGCTAGGGCCGTAGCTCAGTGGTGAACACTTGCCTAGCATGTGTGAGGCACTGAATTTGATTCTCAGCACCACATATAAATAAATAAAATAAAGATCCATGAACAATTAAAAATAAATAAATAAATAACTGGGTAGTATACAGTACTCAAGGTTTAATTAATTAATGCCAATGAATGATAATGAAATTTGTTGATATTAAAGTTCAGAGACTACCATGGACTACAGCTAACTGGTAAAACAGAATTTTAAGTAAGAACAAATTTGAGATATCCATTCTAAACTTCAAGTCCTATAGACAAAGCTAGCTGGTGACAGACTTAAAAAAAAAAAAAAAAAAGGATAATTTGCAACAGGTTTTTGAGCAACAAATACAATTTCTTAGAAAACCCTGAATTGCACACTTGTCTAAAAGTTAAAATTATAAAACAAGACAAGGAATATAATAATCAAAAAGTTTTACCAGTTGCCAATCCAATTGTTAAGTCAAAGATGGAAAATATATCATCATAAAGAAAGAAGCAAAAGAGATAAGTTTAAAAATAAACAATGAAAGAAAATGGAAACACATGAGAACAACAGAGATGCAGACAAAACAACTGCTGGTTATATCAAAAGTTAACTCATGTACTCAAGTTTTGGAAAGAGTATTAAGACTGTCCAAGAGTATCTCTAACAAAGCTTAAAAACATTTGGAAACTAAGAGCCAAATTTACTGTTTCAAACTTCAATAACTTACCTCTCTAGCAGCACAATCATGAGGAGCTTCTTCTTTATTTACTTTTCCTTTTGGAAATCCCCAGCCTGATTTTGCTAAGTACCCCTGAACCAGTAGTACCTACAATACAAGCAGAAATAAAAATCAAACTTACTCCCCCTTTTCTATGCTCTTTTCTAAAATTAAAGGTGATTTTCTATTAGCACCAATAATTTCATATAGCATTTCATTTGGTATAGGTATCTTCCATGAGTCTAAATATACTACTATTAGTGCAAAGGAAAGCATTGTATTTAAAAATATTTTTTTTCAAAAATGAAATAACAATGTTCACTAAGCTATAATTGCAATAAGTAAAAAATCTTAAAATACAGAAATAGATAAAACATGGAAAATTTGGCCTTTCAAGTACTAAACATCTAAGATTCATTCATTCTTAATTCAGAATACTATATAACAAATGTTAATAGGCTAAAAACTGACAGTTGATGACCATTTCACTAAAAAAAATCTTATTTTTATTACACTCACATTTTCAAGTGTCTCATCAAGAATAATTGCACCATATGTTGGTACTCCCATTTTATATTCCTTCCATTCATCCAAAATTTTTTCCACATCTTCACCTTGAGGCAGCAAAAATGGACAATGATTGAAGAGTATAAATAAGTGTTAAGGAAGCTACTTCCTCCCTTAATACAGCTTGAGAAATTATTTACAGAAAGAGACCTATTTAAGTCAACTGAGTATTTTGTATGAAATTACTCAAACCTTCACTTTAACCTTTTTTCCATATTTGTTTTCTTTTGAACAAATCACTGTTAATATCTCCATTTAGCCTAGAAAAAGTAAATTTTGAATACTTAAGAGTCCCAGATCCCTGAGTTAATACAAATGAACTTGGAATCCACATCTCAAATATTTATCACATCAGAGTCAACAACAGACACTGAAACTGACAGCAAGAAGCAGAAGCACAAGTACATTGCTAAAAGGAAGCAAGTACATGCACATTGCTAAAAGAGAAGGAAAAAATAAAGCAGTCAATTCTAAAAAGTAGAACTAGGATATACACACTAATTTCTACTTTTCTATTTCTTAAACATATATATGTATTGATTTTATAATGAGAAATCATTTTAAAGATTTAGATTTACTAAGTATTATAGAGGAAGGTAAATCTGGGTATTAAGGAATGTATAGCAAGTTTCAAAAGAAACTTTGTATTAAGCTATCCTAAAATTGGACAATGTAAAGTACTAGGGGGAAAAAAGATCCAAAACCCCAATCCATGAAATGGTATGCTCAGCCTTCTGATATTCTGTGCCTTCAAAAGCCTCATCACTGTGATCCTCTTAATTACAAAAAGTGTGGTGAAAATTATAATTTATATTTAAGGATTCCCAAACCCTCTGTAAAAACTTGTTTTCTCTGTATTTTCAATTTAATGTTAATATAAAGACATATGAGCATATTTTCAATTATTCACAAGGCCACATATATGAAATACTAGCACTTAATTTCTAAAACTACTTAAACTTACTGTGGGTTACTAAAAATAGAAGAAACTTAATATATATGCATTAGGATATAGAGAAAAGCCCAAATTGTACTCTTGCATTAGGGTCAAAAGATATTTCAACATAACACAGGAATTTTTGTAACAAACTAAGAAAAGGTAGTAGAATTGGTAGTATAAGAAATGTCAAACTCAAAAGAACCTTTAAGTAAGCATGTTAACATTAAACGAGATTTTTGGGCAAACATATAACATTAAATTCATTTAATTAAACTGGAATTTTATGAGTCCTACAATTTTGTATTCTAAAATATGTCCTGGCTTTATAGCTCTAACAAGAACCAAAAAGGCCTTTGGCAAATCCCAAAGTCAACTATCTATGATAACACCAAAATGAAAAGATGGGCACAAAGTTAATCTCAATAAAATTATTCCCTTCTCTTGGGGAAGAAAAAAAAAGATGAAAATTTGGATATAACATTAACCATCCCACAACACCTGTGGTTCCAGGGGGGCTTTCTAAGATTCTGAAAGGTATTTCCCAATAAAGGTCCTACTTTACATGTTTAGTAAAAGTCCTTACTTATGTATTACAAAGTCATCACAGATTTTCTAAAAATCTAACCAAAGCATAAATTTTGAATGATATTTTTTCCATTTTAAACTTAACCATAGAGAAACTAATGTAAACAGACCCTAATAACATAGATAACTTGCAGTGGTTATCTATAAGCAGGATACATATCCAGTTTTGTTGTTTTCTCTTCCTTTTCTCTATGCTGTTACTAGTACTTTTAAGGTACATCTATCTCCCCACAAGATGAAACTTCCATCATAAAAATTATCTAACTTTTCTATCCATTAAATTTATTTAAAAAGAAAAACAAACTGGATGTAGTTGCACAAGCCTAGAGTCCCAGCTGTTGCGGAGGCTGAGAAGGACCATTTGAGAGCAGGAATCTGGAGACAGCAAGGTCCTGACTCAAATTAAAAAAAAAAAAAAAGAAAAAAGAAAAAAAGGATAAAAATATTAAATGAGAAATTAACCAACTAAGTTTGGAAACTATGTGCTTCATTTTTCAATTTTTCCCTATTCCAACACCCTCACAAAAAAAAACAAATTGACTGAACCAACTGACTACTATTCAAAATGCATTTGCCAATTACAGTTAAAAAGTATTTGCTAAAGATAGAGAACAGATCGACAGCTGCCAGGATGTGAATGAATGGCATGGGGAGGGAAGAAGGGAATAAATTGGCTTTTTCCCCCCACAGGGTGATAAAAATGCTCTGGAATTAGATAACAATGATCATTCCACATATCTATGACATACTAAGAACAACTAACTGTACACTTTTAAAAAAGCAAATTCTGTTATGTGAATGATAATTTTTAAAAAGTCAAAAGCTAAAACAGAATGTTAATAACACCAACACTGAGAGACCCTTAGCTAAAGTAATCCCAGTCCCTTAGTATCAGCCATTTCTAATCACATCACTCTTCCACCATCTTTGTAGTACTTATAAAAACACCTTATTTATGGGTTTACTTGCTTATGGTCTAAATGTCCCTTCCACCCTTAACTAAACACAACCTTCATGAAATCAAGAAGAAAAAAGGAAAGAAAATTATCTGTTAAGTTGTTGCCCAAGTCCATAATGAACAAGTAATAAAAAGACATCAATCTTCCCATAAATCTTTTATCCTCCTCATATTTAAAAAATAGTACTTCAATTCAACCATGATAGCAGAAATTTGTATCATTTTTATTTGACAATACATTTAATTTGAAAAAGCTTAGAATATGCCATAATTGATAACCATCATTTCTTATTTTTTATTAAAATTCTTGACAATTGATTTCCTTAAATCACAAACCAAATTATTTTGAGTCTTACATATTCATTACTGGACTACCCAGTACTTTGAAGAGAAGGACAGAGGGAAGTTAGACTGATGAAAGAATTCAAGCATCTTAAATATCCACACCACTGAGTGCTTATTGAAGAAAAGCCATAAGACTATGACCAATCTACAGAAGAGCAAACAGAGGTACAGAAGAGTCCCAAAATTTGCCCAAATATACACAGCTGGTTAATAGGAAAGACAGGATACTAACAGAGGGAACATGGCTGCAGAATTCATGATTATTAACTTGTATGGCACATAGTAAATATTCAGTAATTATTTAAGAAATTTCTAAATAAATTGGAAAAGTCATCTCTTTAAAGATTACCTAGTTAAATGATATAGTCAGAATCAGGTAAAAACAGATCAATTATAAAAATAGGCTGTTTACAAAAATGCCAAAATTTATTTCCAATCAATGTACATTAAGGAGTCCTAGTGCAGAAATAAGACTACTAAATTATGTCATACACACACAAAAAAAACTTTTTTTGGCAACCCAGGACCTCAATGATGCTAGGCAAGCCTTCTGCCATACAGCTACATCCCTAGGTATATTTGACAATATTTACAAGTCAAGGATATGTTATCCAGTAAGTTAAAAGTCTCAAAGACAAGCAAAAGGAAATTTGTGCTGAAATATTTTATTAACAAGAATGAAAGACAGTCATATTAATGAAAAGGATATCAGCTTTTGCAAAGTCTCTTATCCCACACTGAGGTAATCCTGGTGTGTTCTGCATGTAGAAATCCAAGTAAAACCAATGGGCAAGTTCAATCTGAAAACACACTCTGATTGCATTGTCTCTTTCCTCGCTGGGAATATGCAAAATAAATCGGCTGTCAAAAACAAAACACAAAAAAAATTACATTTACAAACTATAACAATTTATTTTAAACTATTTAATTGCTTCACCCCTGACCCACCAACTTAGAAAAGAGACCAAGAGCAGTCTTGTTCAAGGAAGCAAACAATATCTGGAAGAACTTACCATGGGGAAGATAAGTCTTAAAAAGGGAGACAAAGAGGAAGGAGATATCATAGGTAACTCACAAATTTAAGAGTTTATCTATGTAACATTTCCAAGAATATATGCAAATATATTCATATAATTCACTAAAAAGTATGTTTCATTATCTGTTTAATCTTCGCATGAAAACTAAAGGTCTTTTAAGAACCTTCCTTCCCAATTACAAAAGCTGTTTTGATTATAAAATGGTAAGGCCAATCTCCATTGACTTTTCTGTCTTTCCTCTGCCTGGCTGTTCCCAGATATGGGCAGTTCTATGAGGTATATATACAGCATGGTTTTCTAGCCTAAAACCAAACAGGGGAGCCAGGGAGCCCCAGGGAAAGCAAAAGTACTAGGGAGATAGCACTAGAGAGATAGTAGAGGGACAACAGCTCTAGAAAATGACCACTGAAAATTATTTATGAACTCTGGGGTTCAACCCTGATCTGTGCATGCTCAGATTAGAATATAAATAGTCCATTACAATTGTAGAAAACTGAACTATAAAAACAGACCACTGTTGGGCTGGGGATGTGGCTCAGGCGGTGGCGCACTCGCCTGGCATGCTTGCAGCCCGGGTTCAATCCTCAGCACCACATACAAACAAAGATGTTGTGTCCGCCGAAAAAACTGAAAAATAAATATTGAAAAATTCTCTCTCTCCCTCCCTCTCTCTTTCTCTCCCTCTTTCAAAAAAAAAAAAAAAAAGCAATGTGTCTATTTTCTTAGTTTGCGACATTTTCTATTGATTTCAATTATAGAAAACGAAGGATTAACTATTCTCACACTTCACACTCTTTCTCATCTTTCCATTCTTCCAACAAAATTATATCACAGTTTTGGTTAGTTTCTCAATGTCGGCACAACATTCTAAAGAAGGTAATTCTATTAAAGGGGCTGCCCTGTGTGCTGTAGGATGGTGAGCAGCATCTGCAGCCTCTATCCTTTAGATCTTTTTTTAAAAAAAATATATTTATTTTTTAGTTGTAGTTGAACACAACATCTTTATTTATTTTTATGTGGTGCTGAGGATTAAACTCAGGGCCTAGCACATGCTAGGCGAGCGCTCTACCACTGAGCCACAACCCCAGCCCCTATCCTTTTAGATCTCAATAGAATTACCTGCCATGTTATGACAAATCAAAAATATCTCCATATACTACCAAGTGTTTCCTGAGAGGAACAAAATCACTCCCAGTTTATGATTACCGAGCTAGATGTGTTAAATAAAAATTACAGTATGATACTGGTTTGGACTAAGCTCTTACAGTAAACCCTAAATGGACAAGTTAAATTTCAAAAAGAAGTCAAGACAACTCAATTATTACCCGACCTTCCAAAAAATTAGGAGATAATAACCGATTTCACATGGGCCAAAGTCAATGACAATGAAACCAGATGAAAATGAAGTCTCCTTTGCTTTAATTCTTACAAAACAAACCTGACATTAAGCTATAAATTATTTTTCTATTGTTCTATGTCCCTCTCCCTGCCTTATAAAGAAAGTAACGTCCATAGGGCAAGTCCACTCTATTCTTTGTCTTCAGCCCTCTTCTGACTATAAAACCAATCTCTTCTGCTCAGCTTACTGGAATACTTGCGATGTTTTATAGAAGTAAGTGTTGCCCAATTCTAGACAAGACCTTTAAAATTTGTTGCCACCTTATCTTTTGACAGAGGAGCATTCTGTTTACATATGACTGTAAATGCAATTAACAACTAAATCATGTGGTAAACTGTGATTACTTATTTCTTGCACAATCTCCTACTTGCCCCATGATTAAAAATTGTCATTGTTGTCTTTGCTTTTATTTTCTCTATAAAGTACCTGTCACTAATTCAACATTCTACTAGTTTTCCCAACTTTTCCCTCAAGATGTCAATTCAGATCCATGTTTAACCTTAAAGACTGCCCTTAAATATTGTGATGTGTTCCAATTAATGACATTTACCTTCTACTTCTGGTACATATCTGTCATACTGTCCTTTCATTACCCAGTGCAACTGCTGCACATCCTGGCTTGCCTCTCTTCACTAACTATGCTTATCTTTGAGAACAGGACACCTAGAGGTAAGAAGCTCCTTCCTTGATTATCAGCAGAAATAGTCCAGGTCCACTATGGCCACCTAAATGACTGCTTATAGGTTCCTTTTTTGGCTTTAGCACACAGATCAGAAAAAGGTCTCTTTGGGGGATCTCCCTCTTGAGAAGGGCCAATAGATCTGATAGTTTACACTTTCGTTAGCATCCACCAGTCCCTATTTCTTCATCCTGTAGTAGATATCCTTGTCTTCCTCCTCTTTAATTAACCTTGTTTTCATACTCCCAAACATTCTGAAAGAAGAATGCAGGGAAGATAAGTATTGAGACACTGCACTACTGAAAATATCTTTATCCTCACACTGATCCTTTCCCCCACTCAGTCTGGATGCTTCTAAAGATCTTCCTTCTGTCCTGGTGTTCTAAAATTTTCCAGTGTCTCTCTCTCCGCACTTTTTTTTAAGTCCACTCCACTGTACAGCCACTCAATGGACTATTCATTTGCAAATTCATACCTGAAAGACCTCATGGACCAATTCTCTAATGATTGTTTCTTCTCATACTCCCTGTCTCTGATCTTTGCCCCTCTACTTTCTGGGAAACTTCTTTATCTTGCAAGTCATTTACTGTGGTTCCCCCCCCCCTCACATTTTTAGTTTCCAAAAGTTTATTTTAATTTTTAAGGTATAATTTTATAGAGTATGGGGTTTTTATTTCATGGTTATAGAAAACTACCACTCTCAGGGGATCAATGTAGTTTTAAGTTTTCTTCGATTTGCATAATCTGATTCTTCCCAATAACTTTTCTGTTAGTTTTAAGCCACTCTTTTCTGAAGAGGCGTATTTCAGATACTCATATCTGGGACACACAACAGAGCTATTTAGGAAGATTGTCAAATTATGAGGCACAACTGAAGAAATACAGGCTAAGCTGTTTAACTGGAAATCCCACTGATGTCACTATCTTTAGGTCTCCTCTGAAGTTAGATTGCCTGGAGAAGACTCTTCCCTATTTTGGAGATGAACAGGAAAAGAGAGCCATGAATTACAGCATTGAAGATATATAAATTCATTTCTCTAATTTTTCAATATTCTCTTATACTGGAATAGACTTGACACTACTACAACAGTTTCTCATACAGATATTTCAAATTTGCTAAGTCATTGTGATACTATGAGATATATATTTGGTCTTAGCCCCCTTTCCTGGTATGTAACTCCTAAATTTCTTAGAAAACAACAGTGTTAAAAGTCCTCTTATGCTAATGAGTTTAATCATGGTTGTGAGTTCCTGGATAGCTTCAGGATGGTGATTGGCATGGAAGAACCAAGCCTGTGATTGGAAGGCTCAAACTTTCAGTCCCGACCCCAAGTGAGGGAGGGGAGGCCCTGAAGGTACTGTCACTCACCAAAGGTCAATTATATAATCAATCATGCCTAAGTAATGAAACTGCCACAAAAATCTAGGAGTATTGGGGGCAGGGGGTGGGGGTGGGGTTGAAAAGCTGACACATGGAAGTTCCTGGAGAGTGACAGAAAGGGCATGGGAGCTTAGAGCCCCTTCCCACACAACCTCTCCTCATACATCTCTTCATCTGTATCCTTTGTAAAACAAGGAGTGGGTCGAGGGAACCATTAATTTGTAGCCCATCCAGCGATAGTTCCAGAAGTCTGGACTCTCACTGATCTTGTGAGACTGAGCTCTCAACCTGTGGAATCTGACAATACCTTCAAATACATAATGTTTGAACTGGATTGAATTAGGACACCCAGGTACCGTCCACTGAAGAACTGCTTGCTTGTTTAGTGTATGGGGAAAACACACACACAATGGTCACAGAGGTATTGTGTTTACAGAGTATAGGGAAAAGTTTATCCTCGCCCCCATCCTCACAATCAAGTAAGTATCTCCTTCTGTTCTATAATTTCCAAATTTTGTTGGCTCACCACTTCACCCATTCTTTCCTTTCTTATGTTCATGCATTTATTTTTTTTTTAATAAAACGTCTTCAGTGAAGATGTTTACATTCATCTTTAACTAGAAATTCCATTTCAAACAAATTGCTAGGACATTAGGCACACAATACAACATTATAAGAGAATGCCTAAGTAAGGAAAAAAGCCCACCTTATCCTACCCCAACACAGGGAAGCCTCAAGTGAAGGAAGTAAGCTGGTGGATGGGAATAAGGAATAGGTCTAAAATCAAATGAAACTGTATAGAGTCTGTTTATGTAATTCAAGAATGTCCACTAGGTTTTCACTCCTTTACCAGTCAGGGGTTTCCTGTACAAGAATAAGAAAAAGAGAATAATAACTAAGGGTTCTTCTATTAATTCAAGCAGATAGCTTTGGGTGTTGGATCCTAAGCAAAGCTTCCACAGACTGCTTTCTGAACGGCCCTAAGTTTATGAACAAAGTTCCTATCACTCGCATAAAGAAAAAAACTATCAATAATAAGCCCCTCTACTATCCTATCCCAAATACAAAAAAGGCAACCAAGAATCACTCAACATCTAAAGAAAACCTGGAAAAAAAAAATTAAACTTAATAAAAAAAAAAGACCCTGAAGAAAAAAATTCAGGAATTAGAAAATAAAGATGAAAGGTCAAAGGAAGAGTTAATTAATGCCCTCAAAGAGAGTCAAAGAGCCCTTTGGAGCAAATGTATTTTCACTTAAAACACACACACACACACACACACACACACACACCCATTGAATACAAGCCCTTAGAAATTAACAATATCATTACTAAAATATACTCAACAAAAGCCTTGTAAGACAGT